CCCCAAAACCCCAAAACCCCAAAACCCCTTAAAAAGTCCTTAATATTGAAAATGACAAGTATTTGATAATAAACTTTGGTATTAGGTTGAAATTTATTATGCAGTTATGCCGCAGAGAAAGAATCGCAGCTCAACTTTTGACCTTTCTCAGAGAGATGATGGTGAGACTCAGCAAATTTCAAGCCTTTTTGATTATAATTACAGAAACCATTCAAAGAGATCAATTATAAGCCCCAGTGCTGCTAAAGGAAATGTTCCTAGTTATCTTTTCCCAGATTCAATGAGAAAGAAAGGCTCTGCTCTTGTACCTGATTTTATAAATCAAGGAGGAATGATGGCTAAAAATCCAATCCTTGATAGGCCAATGCCAGAAGCAGCCATAAGATCCATGTACAACAACGTAATGTTTCCTGGTAGTGTAATTCCTGATTTCATGATGAACTCAAAGAGAGTTCCATTAATGGAATCTGTCGACAACATTTCTATCATTCCTCCATTACCTGGCCAAAAATATCCCTCAAATCCATACTATAAAGTATACAAAGATAATAAGAGAAAGGCTAGGCAAGGAAGAAAAAGAGGCCCTAGAGGACCAGAGTTACCAAAAGAGCATCTAAACCAAGTATTGAACAACATAAAGATCCCTGGGTATGACTTCTCTTCCCCACAAAATGATGTTGAAGAGATCCCTGACCCTTCAACCTCATCATATGCCCAACAGCTAAAGCGTAGGGAAATTAAGAAAGCAGAAAAGAAGAAGCGAAGCGAGAAAGAAGCTCTTGAAAAGGCAATAGCAAACCAATGGAACCCTGTATGTACAACCAATTTCGGTGAAAGGATGGTAGAGTATCTCCGCAAAAGAGATTTTCGTGATAAAAAGCTCAAAGAAAGAGATGAGACTCATGTGAGAGGGAGAAAGAAAGACTTTCAAGACCAACTCTTACAATATGCTGACAAGGAACTCATCTCTAATGCAATGAAGCAGTATCAAAAGAAACGATCCTTAGAGCAGAAAGAAGAGGAACAAGAGTTAGATAGCGAGATTTATAACTCTATTTGCACTCAAAATCAAGTTAACATTGGTGCTTTTGCAATTATCGAACAGATTAAGGATCAGAAAAAGCTGACAAATCCAAATTGGCTGTATCTGGAACACAAAGGCCCTGTGTATCCTCTAAGTCACCAAACCCATAACGTAAACTTGAAATATAATAACGCTACTATCATAATGGATCATATGCAAGAAGAAGTAGCAATATTGTGGGTCAGAATGCAGTTTGAGTACCCTGACCATGTCGAAATCCCTGACTTTCGTGATTCATTTGCAGAGAATTTCTTGAAGCTGTTCGGTAACAACTTCACTGATTTCAAATGCTTTGATTTTAGTGACATTAAGACCTTTTTGTTGGAAACAGAATATAAGTACTGAGGGAACGAACTTGTCAGAAATCCATCAGCTATTGCAGCTCAATATCCAGAGAGTTATAACCAAGAAGCTATTGTTAATGGAGAAAGACATTTGATGGATAGAAACTTCATCGGACAGCCTATTAGACTCTACCTACCCAAGAAGAGCAATAAGATGAATAATCAGTTTGGAAGTATAAAATATAGAGATAGACCTTGAACAACTGTTCTGAATCTCAGCGTTGATGCTCCTATTCCCATCCCTCCAGGAAAGGGAGAATGTTGGAACAGTGTTATATCTGACCCAGATTTAGAATGGATAATAGCATTTAAGGATAGAAATAACAACATTAACTCAGTCAGCTTCAGTAAGAAACAAACTCCAGGCAAAGAGCTACCGTGCAAGAAGAGACAATTGGAGAAGTTTCTCTCTTTCAGAGGAAAAGAAGGAATTTCTAAAGGAATCAAAGCCAATCTTTGAAGCAAATCTCAGATAAAAATCTATGATTCAGCATATGAATTATCGAAATCTATCAAATTTATCAGGTCAGATTACCAGAAAAGAATTGAAAGTAGGGACAAAATTGAGTGCTTATGAGCCATCTGTGTATACTTGATAGATAATCTCGACTTGAAGATATCTGATGAGAAAGAAAAGCCAATCCAAGGAGTTATGGATATTACAACGACCTGCCTTACTTTTTATCCAAATTGAACTATCAAACTCCGTCTTGGTCCTAGGTACCGCTGAAAAACAAGAATAGACCAATTAGTTTACAAAATCCTAAAAATCCTAGTTGAGGAGAGGAAGTTTAGGACCCAACAAGACCCTTCTCTGAGCAAAATGATATTTGAAGATTTAAATGTTGAAATCTTAGAGCAATACTTAAACCTTTTGCTAAAAGATTTAAGGCCTCAGCACTTCTTTATCTACAACTCAAGTATTAAGTTGCAAAACCTGCTTTCCAAATACGAGAATGTTTATGGTAAGAAAGGGACAGATTCTGGAGGAGTTTTCCAGAACTTCTCCTCCCAATGTTCAAAGATGAGTGTGGATACTACTCGGACTGAAGACTGCCGAGGGCTTGTTAATAAAATTGTGCATCTGACCCGTTCTACTTCAAAAGTCATCAAGATTTCTTACAATGATCATGATATTATCAAACTTGATGGAATCGTTGAGGATCTACATGAGATGTACCAGAGGAAGAGAGACCTAGAGAATGATGTAGATGGAGAGTCAAGTAACACCTGCTCTCAAAACTCAGAGATCCCTAACGCTTTAGAATTAAAAGAAACTGCTAGTAAGAAAGAACTCTCGTGTTTAGACAAAAAATTGATGGAATTAGAAGAGAATATTCTCTATTCCCCAAAGAACACTCAGTTGATTGACTCTAAATATGTTTATTCCATATTTGACCCTAGGGTTATATACTCGTGGCTGAAGAGAGAGGGAGTTCCTCCTGACAGAGTTCTGGCACCAGGATATCAATCAAAGAATTGATGGGCAAGTGAAGTTCCTAAAAACTTTCAATATTTCTAATTATTAAAGGGGTTTTGGGGTTTTGGGGTTTTGGGGTTTTGGGG